CCCCTCTCTCCTCTCTCTCTCTCTCTCAATCTCGCTCGCCTCTCTCCTCTAAATAACATGTAGCTAGAAATTATAATTATCAAACTATAGCTATGGAGTGTAGTTAATTATTTTTAGGTGACTATATATTAAAGTTTCCCTAGAAATAATAAGCGTTCTGAAGATAAAAATACACGTAATTTCATTTCATATTTATAAAGCTAACAGACGTTACAAGGTGTAAACTTTAATTTCACTTGACATTGATGCAAATGCTTTTGTACATTTTATTCCCCGAAAGTTTAAACTTTAAATCGAAGTTTAGAATCATTTTACTAAAGAGGAACTATCTAATTACACAAATATTTTTATCATATTTATATTTTATTTCATTAATTTATAATTTCATATTAAATTTTAAGTCTGATACATCTAGATACATGTTTTATTTATTAATATATATATATATATATATATATATATATATATCTTTTTTTTTGGTTACTAGATAAATTGAAATAGGGATAGAGGTGATTAAGAACTGGAGGTAGGCGAACAAGATTTATTTATATATCTTAGATGCATGTAAAATCATACTATATAAACACTAGGTACATATATCTGGTGTTATTCACATGTATCTGAGATACTAGATACATAGGAGTTTGACGAGTGAGATGGGAAGGAAGGTGATCAAAATTTGTCTATGTATATCAAGTACATGAGAACCCACTTGTATATAATGTATGTAAAGCAAATTACACCTAATTTTGACCTAATATATTCCATCATACATGTATATTTGAACGCATTGATATCTGATAAGATTCTAAGGAGTCTTTTGGGAGACCGCATTAAAACAAATAGTTCATGTATTATGTGTGGTATTATTTAGTACTACGTTTGGTAGGGATTTGGACTTACGTATAACTAATCGATGGATTAGTTATACCGCCTACATGGTATTATAGGATGTATTACTAATACCTTACATTTGGAGAGATTAGTAATAGATAGGATATAATACCATGGGATAAGTGTATGTAAAGGCAAAAATATCCCTCAAATTATTTTAATTATTTTCTTGATTTATGATTTATATTTGTACTAGTAAATTTATTTAAATAGATTAGCTTACAAATTATTTAGAGAAAATTTGTTTGTTACTAAATAAATCCATACAAATTGATACAATATTTAACATGTGAGTTGTTTAACATTAACTAATTAAAAGCACAAATATATCATCACATGACGTTTGTGATCTTAATTGAATGTATATAAATATTTGTGCTATATTTGTATTTTTAACAATTTATAAAATTGCATACATATAAACAAATATGACTTGTAATTTTTATGTATAAATGTAGATTATTTATTTAATTTTTCTATTTTTTGCCGTCTTTTCAATTTTAGAAGTTGATAGATTATCTTTTTTTTAATTAAAAATTGACATTTTGTAAGTAATCAATACTAAGATGACAATTATTTATCCTAAAATAATTTAATTGGTAAAAAAAGAGGAAAACATGACAACAAGACTATTCTCTCATAGTTAGTTAGAAGGTCATAAAAAATAATATTGTCCGACAATTATTTATCTTAACTCAATTTTATAATAATTTAACGGTATAATTAGAAAGAAGTTTTTTATAAAGTTTCAGTCCAAGCACAAGATGAGTTGGGAAACAATGAACTAAACACTTTGAAAGAATAATTACCGCACTATTAATCCCTGCATTACTACTATCAGTATTACTAATCCATGCATTATTCATCTTTGTACCAAGCGACCCTTAGTAATACAATCATATAACACCATATAGGAGATAATAGTTATGCATAGACCCAATTTTCTACCTAATATAGTACTAAATAATACCATTCACAATACATAAACTATTTGTTCTAATGCGCCCTACTAAACGACCTCTAAAACTATAATACCTCTTATTTTTAGACCTCTAAAATAGACTTCATGGGTATATATTACTAAATATAATATCAGCAGTGCAGAAGCAAATGAAAAGAAAGCTGAAAAAGCAAAAGCAAATAAAATCTCAAAGGAGGAAAAAAAGAAAGCAGA